TTTTATCTCCGAGAAATCAATTTTTTATAAAAAGAAAAACACCAGCAGAATCGAAGGTGAAGAAGAAGCAGAAGAAGGAAAAGGACATAAGCCTACGGTTCTCAGCTTACGATTCTCACATATCCATCCATAAGTACCATGTCTTCAAGGTAACGCTCTCCCCGTTTCCCATACACTCAACAACAAACTAACATCTGTCCCAAACTTACCCCCTAGATTCTCACAACGCCCGTCATCCTCCCTATTCGACTCCTACCGCACCGGTCCCGGCGACGATGATAAGAAGAAGCGTGCGGGAAGCAGGTCTCCGGGAGGGAAGTTAGGTGGATATGGTGGATTCTCGGGATCCGGGTCTGGGATGAATGGGATGAATGGGGGGTTAAGTCCCGGCGGCGGTGAGAATGGAGGGTTTAGAGCTGCGACGCCGAATAAGAGGTATGTCTGGGCCTGTGGCGTGGTGCGATGCGGTACTTTTGAAGGGTGGGAGTGAGCTTGCTGACGGTTTGTAGGGGGCAATATTCGGATGCGGTTCTTTCATCGCTGGAGTCGCAGAATGATAATGAGGTAGAAGGGATTACGGCGAAGGTTAAGATGCTGAAGGATGTATGTTCCCTCCCATTTTCTCGCGGCTACCGGAGATTTGTGCGCTAACAATATCTAGTTAACGGTAGCCATCGGCGACGAAATCCGAGAATCCTCCTCCCTAGCGGATAAGATGAACGATACCTTCGATAACACCAGGGTTCGGCTACGAGGTACCATGAACCGGATGCTGCGCATGGCTGAAAAGACCGGGGTCGGCTGGAAGGTGTGGCTTGGGTTCTTCGTCGCGGTGTTTATGGTGTTTGCCTATGTTTGGCTGTCCTGAAGGAGCGGTATGGAATGTACCGGTACGATTTCTTTCGCCATGCTAGGAGTGCAGCCGTATCGGGACAGTCGTCTGAACATTTATCCTCGACCCGGTTTGGGACAACTAGCCTTGGAACGTCTCGAGGGTTTGGATCAAACGAATCACGAAGGAATCGCCGATGGTTTGCTATCCTATTTGGGAGGATTTTGCAACACTGACGAAGAACGACTTGACGGCTACGGCTCACGACCTTATCCTTATCTTCTACTCCATCGATATTGCCTATCAACAACCTCGAATACTTTCATCGACCACAATCCACCATTCCGATGACAACTGTATGACCCTCAGGAGTTTATCTGTCTATTACTATCCTTCCTCAATGTATCCTTACTCGCCACACAGGATCTTATATGGGAAACCGGAGGCGTTCTCGGCATCAAGTATACCGAATAGAACCATGTTTTGACCTTTCTATGTTGCTGTTCGAGCGATGTACCTACTATGCATTTCGAGTTACTCTTCTCTTCACTTTGTCTCTCACCCTTAGCTTCTCTCATGATGGAATATAAGGAGTAAGGGGTATGGAGAAGCCGTGGATGGAGTATTGTTTTTTTTGTTTGTTTCTCTTGCGATTTGGCGTTGCACATATATATAACCGGGTTGTATCTATCTACTACTCCACATATACCGGGAAGGATATGGGATGATACTGGAATTTAATAGTAATAGTAATATGATATTCATATTCATCATAGCCTCGACCTCTATCAAATGCTAGTGCGCAGAATATATTTATCAAAGGAATCATCGAGTCCAATGCAATCATAGCGACTAGCATGCCGCAGAATAGGGTATATATATACATCCCAACAAAACGACTGAACTCCATGCTCACAAAACAAAGCACCATAACACCATCATACCTATACAAGAGGTAAACTATACAGCCTGCAACTGCCAGTGTGCTGAGCTTCCAACAAAAGACTCGGCGACACCCCAACATTCTTTTACAGACTATCCCTTGGCCCACCTCTTAGCCGTCGTGAAACCCTCCTCCTTCCGATATACCCGCTCCTGCGATGCCTCCCACTACTCTCACCGGGACCCATGGGGCTAGCATTATTGCTATTCCCACCTTGGTTATTCCCGATCGAAGCGCCAAAGTCATTGGCATCGTCCTCATCATCGTCCATGACCATTCCGCTAGATTCTAGAATCGCGTCGGTGTCGATATCTCCACCTCCACTCCACCGTTGGAGGAAGAGGCGCTGGGCTTCTGTTTCGCGGTGCCGCGTGGGCTGGGGAGGTGGTGGGGGAGGCAGGTCACTGGTCCGCGGGTGTTGACGGCGTTGTTGTTCAGGAGAGAAATTATCCGTCGTAGTGAACAGACCCGTATCATCATCGTCATCGTCAGCATCTGTATCCGTATGCTGCCACTCCTCCTCTTCAACCTCTTCCTCCGCACTCGGAACATCATCATCCAAATCCCTCGCCATCATCTCACTATCCCCCTCCTCCGCAGCAGGAATATCATCATCCAAATCCGGCTGCTCATCAAAATCATCATCCTCATCCTCATCATCACCCATCCCATCAAACCCATCCGGAATATCATCATCCAAATCCCTCTCCATCATCCCCTCCTCATCCTCCTCCCCATCCTCCTCCAACCCCTCATCCCCTTCCTCCACAAGCCCTCCCCCATCAGGAATATCCTCATCAAGATCCCTCTCCGTATCCTGCCCGGCACCCATCATATCCCCCTCCTCTTCCTCCTCCTCCTCACCCTCCATAGCCTGCGCCTCCGCCTCCGCAGCCGCAGCATCCCCTTCCTCCCTCTCCGCCTCCTCCTCCCTCACACCTAACATCGTCTTCGCACATCCCGCGGGCTTAATCCACGCATATCCGAACGAGGCGATATTCTGCTTCCGAGTGCGTAGCGCGCGTTCTTCTAGGACTAAAGCTGCGAGGGAGTTTGGGCCGGACGAAGCTTGTGCGCGCTGGTTCTGCCGCCGTTGCTCATGGTTGTTGTTGTTTTGCTGGTTCTGCTGCTGTTGTTGGCTGGGGGATTGGTTGAAGGAGTCGTGGCGGTAGGAGTGGGAGGGGCTATACCAGAGGGTATGGGACTGGTGGGAGGGAACTTTTGTTAGCTGGGCGGATTGGGGTGGCTATGTGGTGCTCCTGGGACTTACATCGCGGGGTGTGATGAGAGGGAGGGAGAGCATGTTTGAATCCTTTTCAGGCGCGATGCCCTAGCGAGAGCTAAGAGGATCAGGTATCGCGTAGAAGAGAAGTTGGATATTTCAATTGGGAGAATTGGTAGCTAATAATTCATTATCGTTATTGTCATCATCATATCATTGTTTCATTGTTGTTGTCGGAGTTGATTAGGAAGTTAACTAGCTATCAGGGCAAAAACTTTGTGCTCTCTGTGCACATCCCCTTTCTGATTTATGCATATTTAATCAAGACGCATGGACCACCGCATAAAAAGACTAATATCGTCTTCGCGAATGGCCTCGGTCATACTTCGTTCCTATTGTTCTTCTCAGGATAAGACACTTCTGAATTCAAGGCAACAGCTGTCTCGTGTCCGCGATCTTGATACCCCCTTTCACAGCAAATGCTTTGAAAAGGGACGGCTGGAGCAACCCGATTCTCCCCCTTCATAGCCTTAAACATTTGCTCTAATTCTGTCCACGCTATTTAGACCTATGTACCTCACGACCTTCTCGAATATGAGGCAAGTGCTGAATGTAGCCATGTTCATCAATCTTATGGCCGATTGCTTCAATCGAGATGAAGAGATGACCTGAGCTGGAGAAGGTAAATCATTTTCTCTTGTTCTAAACCAATCACATACTCATATGCTCTCCAGAAAAAAACCCGTTTCAGTGGAAGGACATTGAAGTATGTGCACATCCCGACGTTGGGGAAACTGGGCGTTTTAACGCCATCTTATTCCAAGAGCTCAAGAACATGGAACAAGATGACTCTAAGCTTAAGAGAATTCTTATCTCTTCTTTGCCCACAGAATTAGCCATAGAAGGCTCCATGAGACTTATCCTTATCTTAGGTCTTATGGACGGCGTATTCCAGGGCGTAAAAGACTGGAAGGATATGATGAGATTTAGCCCCCCTAAACGGGGGGAGCCATGATTCACATAGACCCAACGAAGGCCAGCATTCCAATCTTTCGAAAAGTCACTCGAAACAATGCACTATCCGATGACCCAGAATCTATCAAGACAATGCAAGGGAAACTGCAACGAATTCGTTACGAGTGAGGTTTCAAGAAAAGATTTACCGAATACGCGCTGCGAAGAGACGCTGCGCCCTGAAGATGAACACGACGATGAAGAATCGAAAGTATCTTATGAGTTATACGAGCGAGAGCAGGGTATTCTCCGGTTATCAGTCCAAAATAGCGAGCGTCGACCTTCAAGCGCTATATCGAGGTCATAAGAAGAAGGGAATGATGAGCATCTCCTTGAATAGAAAAGAGAGGGCACCGTCGCATATCTCTTCAACAGGCTATCAGACGGTACTGGATGATCTCGAGTACGTTGAGCTTTTGACGAAGATAAAAGATCTACAAAAAATTCTTCAACATAAGTCGTGAACGTTGGAGTTGTCGACGTCGAAACTTGTTGGAACACTCGCCTATAGCCTTCTTAGCCCGCCCTGAGGCCCAGAAGGTAGATCTGCCTTTTGGCTCAGCGGTTTGGCAAGAAAAACACTCCTTAGTGCGGAAGATATTCCGCGAGGAATATGATACCTACTTCTGAACAACGTTGTGTCCGCAGTCTGAACCGTCAGTCGCCGAAATGGTGTGAGTATGCATGTGTGGGGATAGTAGTAGACTTGGGGTAAAACGGAATATATATTGATATCGGTACAACTACTGAGCCTTGGAGAAGGAAAAGAAGGAGATCGAGAGAATACACTGAGAGAACTTGGAAAGAGGGCCGTGGGATTAAGTGGAATAAGATAAGCCAGATCACGTGACCCGGACAATTTCAGCACAGGAAGCGATCGAATCAACTCTTTCAGCCTACAAGAGAATTCCTCCGGACATACAAGACTCTCGGCTTCGAGAGCTTGAGAGAGCATCTGAATTATTTTAAAAAAAATCAAAAAAGTAAACCGACACCAGTCGGATTCGAACCGACGCCCCCGAAGAGAATTGATTTCTAGTCAATCGCCTTAGACCACTCGGCCATAGTGTCTTAACGGATGAAATATTTTTCCACGATAGGTATAATAGCCAAACCTTTCTCAACGAATACTCTGACGATAATGATGATGATCTTCAGAGTATCACAATTAAGGGAGTGAAAGGAAAATATCTATTCTTCTGGTGAAAACATATTGATTGATCTAACTCAAGATTGATCAAAGGTATCCCATCCTCTCTTGCTTGTTAGACAAGTATTTGTGTCTCAAGTTGAGCTCTGGAGCGATCGCTGTGATGCAGGCATGTCCTCCGCACGATTACCCAAAGCAGCAATGAGCCTGTGGGGTTGGAAAGGCGATCCGATCAAACCTCTGGAGAGAAGTTGATTGAACAGGAACAGTGCCAAAACATGCAAGGCACGGAGAACCCTTGCCAGAGGGTTCCTTTTGTCTCCCTTAGATCCGTTCACGGACAGGTGACAGTGATGCAGAGATGTTTACTGTGCTAGCTGGTTCAAGGGGCTCGAGCCTAGCACTGAAATACTCCGTCTCGCGATGCAGAATCCGGGGTCGAAGAAGCATGGCATGGGTCATTCCCCCGCATTTATAGGGACACTGCAAGCTCTCCAGCGGTCTCTGGTTTCTCAAAGCTTTCCTAGCTGATCAATTATATCCGACTCTCAACCCCGAACTCTCCACCCATCTCCGCTGCCGATCTGAGATTGCGCTCATTTCGAGCTCGGCGGCCTGGCCAAAGGTCTAATTTAATACCCTAATAGGCTATTAGCGTAATATCCCACAACGAACGGAAAGATTGTCGGAGCACGTTTTCTCCATCTTCCAGAGCTAACAAAGCTTCCTCCTTTCACCCCGAACGACCCGTGGACCCTCATCCCGAGAGCATGCAACTCCGGTGGGCTGTGAAGTGCCATTCCGAGAGCCAATTGCTGAGTACTTTCCCTCGGCACCCACAAATTTGTCCGTGAAGGAAGTCAATGTTTATTGACTTCACCTGAAGCGTGGTCAGTGACCCTCGAATTATTCAGGGGAAGAGAATAGACTCTAAAACGGGGCTTGTCAGTCCTGAGGGATGAAGCGGCCTGGTCGTGATCCCATGAATATATCCATGCACAATAATAATTATTTTAACTGCGGAGACTTCCCGTGCGATGTATAAATACTATGTTTTGACACTCGGTAGCTCCAGCTTCGCAACCTTGTTGTCAGATACTGGAAATCACTTTTCTTCCTCCGACCCTTCTGTCGAAGTTCTCCATGCATTCCCGACCCACGGTCCAGTTTCTTCTCGCCCTAGGCTGTGTCCTAGGGAACATACAATCAACGAACGCTGACTTCTACGTCGCAAGTGATGCTGAAGAATCTGGCTCAGGAGGGAAGGATGACCCTTTTCAGACCTTAGCTGAAGCTCAGGAGGCTGTCCGTGAAGAGCTGGCCAACCAAAGCGAAGACATCCGCGTCCATGTGGCTTCGGGAAATTATCTGTTGAATGAACCCTTGAATCTCACATCCGAGGATTCTGGGAACAATGGCTTCCGTGTGATCTGGCAAGCAGATGGAAACTCAACGTACTTGATGGGAGGCTCCAAAATCACCGACTGGGTGGAATATGACTCGGGAGCGGGCATTTACCAGGCCGAAGTTCCCGCGGAATCCGAGTCCAGGCACCTTTTCGTGGACGACAAACACGCGCAGCGGGCGCGGAGCGAGATCCACCGCGACTGGGTGACAGATTCCATGGCTGGTGGATTCGCAATCGTGTCTTCTGAGGCCGACTTCCTTCTCTCTTTGGAGGGGATTGAAGGCGGAGAGATACGGAGCATAGGAAGTTTCACGGATCGCATAATGCCCGTAGATAGCATTGGAGATGATGGCACTATTGTTATGGAAGAACCCGCCTGGTCCAACAACGTGATGGGTTACGACACCGTTTTTCCTACATCTGGATTCGGAACGCTGTACATCGAAAACGTGCTGGCTCTACTGGACGAAGACAATGAATACTACCTAGACTCTTCGAATTCGACTCTGTACTATAAGCCCCCATCCGGCACGGATCCCAATGACTTGGAAATCTATCTCCCTCACCTGGAGCAACTTCTCGTGTTCTCAGGGACGTATGATGAGCCAGTACATGATATCTCCTTTATCGGCTTCAACTTTCGACATACTACTTGGAATTTCCCTTCCAGTAGCCTTGGCTATGCTGACCAGCAGACTGGCGCTTATGCTGGTCTAGACAAGACCTATGACGATTTCGAAGCATCCAGGCCAGAGTGGTGGATGATCCCGGGCTCTGTCCAAATCAGTGCTGCGCAAAATATTGAAATTTCGGACGGCAGCTTTGTTGCTCTTATGGGAGGTCTCGGAGTTGGCAATGACGCCAACGCCCACTCCAATGGCGTGGGTCTTGGTACTCAGAACATCACGATAAGCGGCAATCATTTCGAACAGACTGGTACCAACAGCGTCACGGTTGGAGGTGTTCTAGCAGATGCCCACCACCCGTCGGATCCCCGCATGGTCAACTCTGGTATTACCGTTCGAGACAATATCTTCCGCGATACCCAGGTCACCATCACCTCTGGCACGCCAATTTTGTTCACATATACCCTTGATTCGTCTATCGAGCACAACGACATCTCGTTCGTTCCATATTCGGGGTTGTGCTGGGGATACGGTTGGGGTGCTAACGACGAAGGAGGGAGCCCAGAATACGAGAACCGTGGTCTCTACAACTATCAGCCCAAGTATGATACACCTACGATTATGGCGAACGGCTACATCGCGGGCAATCTGATCCACGATTACGGTCTCCAGCATTCCGACCTTGGCGGTATCTACACCCTTTCAAAGAGTCCCAACACGCTTCTCGAACAGAACTATCTGTTCAACACAGACTATTTCGGACAGTACGACGACGAGGGGTCCCGTGATTACGTTTCTCAGGATTCAGTCATCTACAGCTCGGGCCCATGGAATGCTCGAAACGAACGCGATGTCTTGACTACGGGAAATCTGACCTTCATCAACATTGCTATCAACCAAGATGTACCAGGCCCAAGTGACAGTTATGGCAACACGTTTACCGATATCACGAACGATCCTAACCTCTCCCTGGATATGATGAGGGTTCAATACAAGGCTGGAATCTCCCCAGCTGGCCGTGGAACCCGCAGCCCCAGTCTCAACCCAGAAGCAGCATACCTCACCATCACTGCGTCAGACGGTGGAGCGGATGTGACGGTCGCAAACCTTGGTTCAGATGACATCACCGAGCTTAATTGGTCCTTTGATATCTCTTCAGGCTGGACGGTTGAGGACGATGGAAATCTCCCAACCTCAATTTCAGGAGACGGGGATGTCACCGCTCACCTCTCTGTAAGTGGCTCAGGGGAAGGATATCCTACACTCAATGTAGCACTTGACTATACAAGTGTTGCACAGGCGGAGTCGGTTGAGGGCTCCCTGGATTTGTAGATATATGTTTAAGGAAACCACCCTGAAATTAGGGTTTGAATTTTATTTGTTTCTGACTTATTTCACGATTCTCACAAATGGAAAATGAAAGGAAAAAAAAATTGACCTTTTAACTTCTGTATTTTTGAAGCCATGAAAGGCTGAATGATATTAATTACCTAGTAACTAAGGGAGAATCTTAACCCAGATATAAAACCGTCTAAGTCTGTACCAATGAATGCAAAGCTAGAATAGGGAAAACTTTTTCGAGAAAACACCCTCCTAGATCCAACCCCAACACCATTCCCCTAAGTCTCTTTGATCCTTGTATATTCTATGCTATCTTCTTACGCGGCGGCGACCTGGACAGTGCTTTGGGGGACGTCAGTCGATGGAGCACCAGCCGTGGCAGTGGGTGGAAGAGCGTCTGCCGCGACACGACGAATGATGCCTCCAGAAACTGGGAGTTGAGAGCTCGTGCCCATAAGGAATGCATCCACATCTCTGGCGGCCTGACGACCTTCGTTGATACCCCTGTTATGGCGTAAGAATTAGTTGGGTGACATTAAAGAAGGTAGGGAAGGGTTTAGAAACACTTGCACGGGGGAAGTAAACTTACCAAACAATCAAAGACTGGCCTCTTCGGCAGTCTCCAGCTGCGAACACCCCGGGGATATTAGTCACATAGTGACCTGGAGGAGTCTTGATATTCTTTCTCGCATCCTTCTCGATCTCCTCACCAAGAAGGCGGTCCTCCGGACCCAAAAATCCCATGGAGAGCAACACCAGGTCAGCGGGGAAGAATTGCTCGCTTCCCTCGACGGTCTTCATGTCCCACCCACCGGAAGAGCTCTTTGTCCATTCGACACGGGTGGTATTGATACCACGTACATGCTTCTTATCGTCTCCCACGAACTCTGTGGACATGACACAGTACTCTCGAGGGTCTTTGCCCATATGGGTTTTGACCTCGCTGTGTCCATAGTCAATTCGGTAGATGCGGGGCCACTGTGGCCAGGGGTTATCTGACGCTCTCTCGGGGGGTGGTTGCGGGAGCAATTCGAAATTGGTGACCGACTTCGCTCCATGGCGGACAGATGTCCCGATGCAGTCGTTTCCGGTGTCACCACCTCCAATGACCACGACATGTTTACCCTTGGCGGAGATGTATTCACCATCAGAAAGGCCGGAGTCAAGTAGCGATTTGGTGTTGCGGTGAAGGAATTGCATAGCGAAATGGATTCCGTCAAGTTCACGGTTGGGGATCTTGAGGTCTCGAGCGACAGTTGCTCCGGTGGCGATTACCACAGCATCGTTCGACTCCCGGAGAGACTCCAGTGTGACATCGCCGTCCGGCCCAACAGCAGTGCTAGTGACGAACTTTACGCCTTCGGCAGCCATCAAGTCCACTCTCCTTTGAACAACATTCTTGTCGAGTTTCATGTTCGGGATTCCGTACATCAAAAGACCACCAATACGGTCAGCCCGTTCGTATACTGTAACATGATGCCCAGCATGGTTGAGCTGATCGGCGGTCGCAAGACCCGCAGGACCGGATCCAATGATGGCGACCGTT